CCCCCCCCCCCATCCCCCCCACCACACACACACACACATATACTTAATACAAGAATATATGCTGGGACAGTATTCCTCTCTGAGCCTCTTACCTTTGTGTACTAAACACAATAAGTGAACATGTTTGATATTTTTATGAAAAGAAATTCCTACATTTGTCTTTTACTTGGCCATTTTAAGACTGCCTGTTTTTCATATACAGTTCAGTAATCAAATCATTGTATGAGATTATCTGATTCAGGACGCCTGCCTGCATCCTTCCTAGCTTTGGCTAATATATTCTAAGAATACAGCTATGTAAAAATAACCTGCAGTTTCAGTATATGCAGTGCAACCTGTTATCCTTGTATACACTGACTTTTAGGCTCTTGACCCAACTTTTAATAGTGATTACAGTACTTAGTAGAGTGATGCATGATTCTACCAAGTCTGGTTTTTATCAGTCACTGTGGCTAAAATATCCTGGTAAGGCAGCAAAAAAAAAGTTACAAATCGAAGATAAATCACCCCTCCCCCTCATTGAGCAAAAACTCTTAGAAATTCAGCTGAATGCAAGTAGAATCCTATAAGTATTAAAATTGTGGAGCCTTTTGCTATGGGACACTGTTGCTGAATTAAGTCATCGACAAGTGACCCCAATTATTTAGATGGGTCACCCTGGCTGTGCTGTGGACGAGGCTGGTGCTAAAGTCACTGACTTGTTTAGCCTATCAGTGCAGCTGTACCTGGTGTTCGGTCCCAATCAGGGCAACATATGTTGTGTACATAACACCCAGCTGTTTAGGCAGGTAGACTGTAGCATGTGAGAGACGCATGCAGGTACAGTTTATACGTACCCTCTTTCTCCACGTATAACAAGCCTTTGTTCGTTTCGATGGGCTGGATAACACGAAATGCATTCTGTGGCATGTAACTGTTTGGCTGTAACTGATTGTCTTTGGCCGTGATGTGAGGTCAAGGAGTTCAGGCATCATATAGCTGTACCAGACAGGGTCTGCCGGGACTGGACTACATGAATTCAGGGTGGCTAGATGACAAATTGAGATGTAAGTTTTCCTGAATTACAGGGTAAGGGGTATATACATCACTTAAAGGCCATTTTATGTGATAAATTAAGTACTGGTACTGGTGTGCATGCAAGCACTGAGGGGTGATTTTATACTGGAAGGGTCTTCTAATTTATTTGAAAGCTGAACGTTGTGTAGCACTCCTACAGTGAATTCAGGTCTTTGTGTAATGTGTGTAAGTGCTTAAAACACCTAAATCAAGTGGGAAATTAATTTGACTGGATAACAGTAGCGGGCACTTAATTGAAAGATCATTCCATTGTTTGTGAAATATGCTTAACGTGTAAGACTGGTTGATATGTAAATAGAGCATGTGTGTTGAATCTGTTGATGTCTGGTGACTTGAAATATAATCCCCCCAGCCAGTCCAAGAGATAGGGATGAAGAATGAAAATCCCTGCCCCTCCAAACGTAGTTTTTTTTAAAAACCAAATTGTGCAAGGTAAAGTACTAGTAAGTGGAGTACATGTAAATAGTGTTTTTTCTTCACCAAGTTAACTGGGATTTAATGCTGGTGTACAACAAGCTGAATGCTCTAAATGAATGTTCTTCATTGAAAGACCATGTGGTCTCTATAATTATTCTGCTGTTCTTCATCTAGAGAAGGTGTAGGGTTGTACCTGTGGTTAAAACTGGGCATAATTAGAAAGCTTAGCTGTGAATGGCAGCTTTGTTGAGTCAGTTGGTTATCACTTGTAAGAGAAGTAGTGGTAGTTTGTGGTCTCCGTTCAAGACAAAGGAGAGAGAGAGAGTGAACTGACTCAATCAGAGCAGGTGTGGTACAGCTAGTACAGTATACAATTGTACAGTACATAATCAGAGTAGGAGAACAATGGACGTGCTACAATAGCGAGGACACGGGGAGGTTACGTGTAAAGCAACCAGACGGGTCTTTGGATTGACTTCTATGTTATTTTCCTTCAGTTTTGAGCAGCATGAAGTCTTCGACTAATAAAAAAGGTATGGTGTGTATATATAGCATGAGTTACTGGGAATGCTTATATTTGGAAACTCCTAAAGTACACAAATACGAAGAGAGATGAACTACAGTGTATAAGAACCATAAATAGAAATTAAGTAGAAGTTAAAAGACTGAAAACTGGTAAAAAAAAGAATCTTTCAACCTATCCAGCAAATTTCAGTGTCTTTTGCCATGGATAGTTAAAGGTGATTAAAAATTGTTCAAAAGGTACGGCTTTGGTAATATAGACAAAGAAAAGAAGAAATAAAACCACTATCGGACTGATTATGATACCAGTATGAAGAAGATGTAGAGATTGAGGGTCAGAGGTAAACTAGGCAAAGTAACTGAAATAATGTAAGAGTAGATTATAAATAATTAGTACTGTATGTCAGTGAAACATGCCTTGTTTAAGGATTAGTTTACTTTACATAGAATTAGGATTTACTTAAGCCCTATTTTCCTGATGAGACAGAATTTAATACTCTTAATGGTGAGATACACCAGCAATTATAATGAGCTTAGCATCCTTTTGTGCCTTAATTAGTAAAAATAGGCAGTAATTGGCCCACTAAGCGGTGTCTTATTCAGCTGCTGTGGTACAAATAAGGTGTTTTGAAGGGGCATGCACTGCTTTGTATATAAACCGTCTGTTTTGTAAAAAAAATGTTATGCTGGTTTTATGACAAAACAGTATGAGTCTGGCTGAATTAAGGCAGTTGGTATTGCTTAAAAATTTTCATTATTTTATATTTGTTATTATTCTTATTTTATTTAATCTTTTTTCTTGGTGGGGGAGGGTTGTCATACATTGTGATAGGTAGGCTTCCATATGTGCATTACAAAAGGGTGCTGTGCAAATGAAAACCATACGGTGTATGATATGTCTACTAATTGATTTGAGCTGGATTTATTTACAAGGCTTTTGTCAGTCTCATTGTGGAAGTCCTGTTTACTAAAAAGTGGGATGGCTAGTTAAAAGAAATGGGAAGGTGAAAAATAGATATCAAAGATTAATGACTTATATTCCATAGAGCCATGAACTTACAATAAAGATCAGTAACAGCTAGAGCATAGTAGTCAGTTAAGTATAGTTATAGACCCCATTCCCAGAGATTAGATCGATCCAACTAGATCGATCTAACTCCCTGGGGGTTCACGCTAAAAAGCTGTCAACGGAACAGGCACAAAGTTAATTACCCCCTTGCAGCATGTAGTAGGCGGGACGGACATTTAAGCCGGATTATCTTACAGTAATCTAGTGAGACTCCCCACGAAGATAGATCGATCTTAAATCTATGGGAATGCACTCATAGACTGCCATCAGTTCTTAAGCACTTACATTTTGAGATACAACAAAATTAAGCCATCAGCACAAAGTTTTCGGGTTAACAGTAAACTATATTTTAAATACTTGTCTGGTAATTTTAAAATGTACAGTTTTGGGATAAGGCTTACTTAAGGATACCGGGCCCTGTTTGACTTCCTCCCATTACTGATGGGTGAGCTGCATCACTTCACGTAAAGTTTGTTTGATCCATGTCTGTTTATTTGCACGCACTGAACTTGCCAAATATTTAGTGAAAAATTCTCCTTTCACTGATTAAGCCAAGGCAGTAAGTGCATTAAGTGCTCATGTCGGTATTATTAATGAATTGGCAGCTAGCTGGGGTAAAGATAAAAAAGGAATGTAAGATAAGGAGAAATACATGAATATCTCTTGGAATTTTTGCCAATTTTACAATGATAACAGACAGTGTTGCCATTGCTGTACATTTTGGATAAATCTACTCATTTTCTAGTGTCAGTTCTTTTTGGGATAAGTTTGATTACTCTGAATGGCATCCTTACGAAGAGGATATTGAGCTGCAGAAGAAACTCTTTAACCTTTCAAACGCTGCACCTCACATCCAGACTTTTTCATCATATGAGATATAGTTACAAACAATGAATAACTGATTCAATAAATGGATAACGGAAATTAAAATATGATTTGAATTCAGTATATTATTTGTCTTACTAAACTTTTGTATTGATATGTTAAATTACAGATAATCTTGTCAGTTTGTCAGTCAGTAAATACCCCTTCTGCTGAAGCTGGTTTTTGATGCCTTTGTCTCACTGCAGGGGGGTGTTACATGTCAGCTGATATGATTTAAGATANCCCCCCCCCCCCCCCTTCATCTTGGTCACAGTACCACCAAATCATTCTTTTTTCCTTACAACCCACATTCGTGTCTGCTTCATTTGATTAACTTGCTCTGTGAAGTGATATTAATTTTACCTTATAGAATTACACTGTTTAGTTTATAATGAGGATGGTTATGAGAGTAGGTGTGGTTTATGCTTTCCATGCAAAGTGCAGTGGATAGTAAAAAAACATCATTTTTATTGGGTTTACGTGAAAGATAATACACTGTCACCTGAGACATGTATGCCAGTACATGTAGAGCTTCACAGAGAGGTATTCAAGGCATATATTGCAAAAGGGTGGCAGTGTGTGATTTGACTACATACTGAAAGAAAGCACTTGCATTTTACTGAAAAACACACCAAAAAAAAGGAATAAAGCATATATCGCCACAGTCACGTAACATCTGTAGGTATGTGTAGTGCAACATCAAGAAAGTAGCATCCAGTTTCTTCTGCAGCTCAATAATCAAACTGATCCTAAAAAGAACTAACACTAGAAAATGAGTAGATTTATCCAAAATGTATAGCAATAGCAACATGACATTTGACTCCGTGATATGTGTGTTTGTGTGTGAGGGGGGTGTTAGTCTATGCTTGTTTGTGTGTATTTGTGTACAAATGAGTACATATATGTATCTGGTTGTATATGTATCTGTATTTGGTTGAATCCTGTTGTTCGTTGTTTTTTACACACACCCTTTACCCAAGGCAAATATTCTTGTAAGTATGATTCTGACTCTATATCTTTGATCACTTTTGTCTCCTCAGGTGAAGACACTCCACTCATCTCCGAGGCAACGCCAACAGCTGTGGAGAAACAGTTACCATGGAAACGAAATTCTGGTCGACAACCAATATCTTCATCCTTGACGCACAGCCTTCCAGATGACGACATTCCACGAATGAGTGAGTGCCCATCTTGGGTAGACAACCTTGATTACAATCACATCTCTTCGTCTCCTGCCGCTTCACTGAACATCAGCCCCAACAATTCACGGAGCATGCCTGTATTAAGTGTGGTACAACAACTAATGCAGCCTGCAGTCCTCGAGGAGGAGGAGGATGAAGGGGACACAGTTGCCATGACAACAGAAAACAGTGATAAGGATGTTAACAGTGACATGGTGGAAAAGGTTGTGTTTTCAGCTGGAAGTGAGCATGAACATGAGGGGAATTCTGGGATAGCAGATGCAAGTAAAGAGGAAAAAACGGATGTATCTGTGGAAAAACAAAATGAGGTTGAAGAAAGTAATGGTGGTTTGTCTTTTTCATTACCATGGCGACGTCAAGATGATGAAAGTGATCAAGGACCGGTAAGATCACCATCTGCCAGTCACATAGTAGATTCCTCTCAGAACTTCGCTCCTTTACCCTCCAATCGCAGCTTTACACTTAGTGAACGTGAGGAGTGTCTGGAATCCAAACACTTAAAACCCATCAACCTGCAGTCTGTGATATCATTGCCAAAATACAACGACACATATCCAGATAGCCACGATGTGTTTTTAGAACAATCTGATGTGCTGAAAAGTCTACCTCAGTCTGATGATCTTGATCCAGACGACCGTATTCACAAGTGGTTACAACATTCACCGGATGACCTTGGGTCAGAGGAAGAGGAGGAGATTGAGGAAGAAATGAAAAAGAGGAACAAGAAATGGGAGGAAGGGGACAATGAACCTTTGGAAGTTGTCGTTGTCCCTAATGTTGATACCTCATCTGCAAACAACTGTGATAACACAGGGGATTCCACAGCGAGTGAAAAGAACTGTATAGATTCTTCAAGAAATGGAAGTAAATCCAACATTGGGCTTAAAATGGACAAGACAGACCCAGTTAAAAGTGAAAATAAATCCAGCTCGGGGTTTGTGTTAGACTGTGGGGAGGGGCCCACTGCCATTATAGTTGTAGATGACAAGAGAAAAGATCAGACGGAAAATAAGGAGAACGATGCCGAGACATATGTATAATATTGTATAAATTTAGTTTGTACAGTATTTATTTTAAAACAATTAGATTGGATAGGTACTATTTATTTATTAAGGCATTTAGTTTGTATAGTGTAGAATATCTTTGTGTTAGTAACTTATTAGCCATTCATTCTCGATGTTAGTATATCTTGCTAAGTTGGCTTTTTTTTTTCTTTTTTTTTATTATGATAAGTTGCATTTTTGAAGTTTTACCCAACAAACCAATTTAACATGTTTTGAGGCAAATTGGGGTTTCTGAGTGAAATGGTTTTCTGAGTAATAGAATATTTATATTCTTATGCAAGAGAAAGAGAAATTGCATAAGTACACAAGAGGTGGTTTCTTGTAGACAGGTAAGTGGATAAGTGTTTGTGTGTGTTGTGGCTTCAGGCAATATCTTGCATGGGACACAAGGAAATTAATTTTAGATTAGATTTTAGCAAAAATTAAATGTTGTTTTGATAAATTTTCCATTCTACTAAAAATATATATTTTCTTAAAGTAATCTATGGCTTGTGTTAGAAACCAAACGTGCATCCAGCTTTAACCTTCATAATTATCAAGCATCACATCTCTGTCAGACAGTTACTGAAGGTCAGAAAATAAGTCTAGGAGATTCCTAGAAATGAGGTAAGCGTGGGTGACAAGTGATGTGAACTTGAATGCCCAATATTCTAGGAAAGGATGACTTCCATTCACGGAAATGCAAATGCTCTAGGAAAAGATATTTGCCCTCAGCTTTGTGCATATATTCTGGGGAAATATCAGGTGTCATTAAGCACATTTTCACAATGCGTGCAATTTTAAATGATGCAGGTATATTTCTATGGCAGATGTTCACTTAAGGGCTGTTCTTGCCAAGTAATAATGGCATGGGTCAGACAAGAACGTTGCCAGGTGAAGGTCAAAGTTCAAGGGTCAGAAGGTCATTCTTTACTTTAAGAGAAGTTCTTATTGGGACAGGATGGATCATACTGTATGATGCAGCTCTTGATTCTGATGCTTAATGGCAGTGAAGAAGTGACGCACTACACAATATGTTTGAAAGAAATTAACCAATTAATGTGCTTTTCACCGACCTGCTGAAATGCTGGGAGCACTGTTGTACTATATTATACACATAGTACAACAGTTTATAATACACAATTTAGTTAAATCTTTCTTAAGTCTAAAGTGACCCAGTGACATCACATGAAGGCAAAAGTGAATGTTTGTGTCACTAGCTTTGTGTAGAGTGTGGAAAGTCGTTGGAAGGGTGATTGTATTTTTTGATGACACGTGTACAGCTTACCTCATAAGAACTTGCTTTCTGACCTGTATCCAATTAACTTTTCAGAATTGTAGCATTTTTTTTTCTGGATAGGACTCGCACAAAGCATTGTTTTGAAAAGTAATATACATCACATTGTTTTTTAAATTAATTCTGCAAACACCTTTTGATAGGACTTGCTACAGGAAATGATAGGAAACATTATTCTGTCTGTGCAATGAACTTGATGTTGGTGTCAGAATGTGCAGAGGAGGCAAGTATAATTAATACATGTTCCCACTCACTGAACAGTTAATTAATAGTGTTTGTTTTTTTTCATTCTTCAGGAAACTAATTTTAAGACTTCAAGATAGCAGTAAATGTGATATATCTTATATAATTAGTAGACATCATATAAATATAGGTAAATGGGTAACTTGGAGAGGATAACCTTCTGTATGAAGTGTCCTTAATGTCTGGACATACTTGAATCTGGTACTAAAAATTGTGAGGATCACACTGATTATATTATTTATTGATATTTCAAATAAGTAATAAATTCAGTATTTTTTTTCAAATGATTATATGTATTTAGCTTATGTGATTAGGTTTTAAGGACATCCTGTACCAGTTACGTACATGAGAAATTTATTGGAAGAGAAAACCAGATTTTTTCCATATAATTTTTGTTTGAACTACCTTTTCTCTTTTTTGTGTTTTTATGTGGTTTTTTTGGCAATTAATGTGTCAGAGGCAAGCCTGTACCTTCAAAGTTTTTTGCAAAATAAACATGACTGAAAAGAAACATAGTTTATTATATATATATTTTTTTCAAAATTTGAATACGTATATAATAGTTACTTATGGCATGAAATTGAATTCAGAAATTCCAATCCAAAAGAATTTTTTTTATGATTGTAAATTAATTTTTATCCATGTAGAGTATTGAACGATTTTATCTTTCTAATACTGTAAATACTCAAATGACTTACAATTTTCAAGGGTTCCTTTCTGCATTACTATAATTGTAAAGCCATGAAACTGATAGGCCTCCTAGTAGATATTTTGTCTACTTTTAATTAAAACTGATTTGCATTCATGAACAGGACCCTCTTTGTATGATAAAATCATTTTCTTACTCTGACTACAATGATATGCATTTTGGCATTCATCAAGTCACCAACTTACACAGTGGTTGATTTAAAGTACAACCTTTGTTGCGTGCGGTCTAATGAAATTTCCACCTATTTCTATTGTACAAGCTTTTGATGACTCTATTTACAACAATCATTAGTTTTCTTTTGTTCTTCAAACAAGTCATTTAGTAGATGCCACATTAGTAATACATATACACCAAATAATTCATTTCCTACTCTGTTCATTCACAGTATTATTTAGTATTGAAATTAAATTAATAATCACTTTTTCATTTAGTTTGCCTAATAGTGTGTGGATTGTCAGAGCACATTTGATAAATCCCAACTAACACAATCCTACTGTTACTGTAGAAAAGCGTATTTTGCTATAACTAATTACACATATTGGTATTGAATAATAATTTTACTTTATATATCAAACAAACTTTTTTCAACACTTCAAACCAATTTTTATTGCAATGTGTGTCAGTATTCAATTACCTCATATGCAAATAATCATAAAGCTCATTATCAATAATAACAACAATAACAACATGAAACAAATAAAAAAAAAAAAGCAAAATGTGTAAGCATCTGAATATACTACTGAGAGCTGCCTCCTATTATTTACCATACAGAACGGCCGTAATAATGCTCACTTAATAGATCGACCTGAATGTCTCCAACGCAATATGTACGAGTGGTTTTCACAACCCAGAGCAGGTCCTGCTAATTGTAAAGAATAAAGCTAAAAAGTTAAAACATTGAAAGTGACACAATTATTTCACAGGTAACAAGTCACCTGTAGTACAATATAAAAGAACTTGCAGCACCATCCTTTGGCCACTATATAAAGTATAAAATCTTCCTCTGTGACAAAACTTTGACACTTAAAAACTCTACCATACAGCAGCCTTCAAGATCTGCAACATTCTGCTTTAACTAGGAAGTACCTTAGCATTGTGTGGAAATGTAATCTCACAAAAAGGGGAGAAAATTTGGTTCACTTTTATTGCAAGGTTAATTTTTATATTTTTATTAAAAGCATCTGGCCTACAGTTTTCTTTGGTAATATTAGGTGATCTCACCAGAGTTATTTTAGTTTTGAGCAAACATTTGTTTGTGTTTTTATTTATTTATTTATTATTTTTTTTTTTTTTGATACCCTGTATTTCCAATATATTTTCAGCGAAATTTGATTTTCATTTACAAAGCAGCAGAAATAGAATGATTTTTATGCCCATTTCCACCTTAAGCCATCTACTAGGTATAGGGCCATGTACGTCTACACACAGGGCTACATAAAGCTTCTACTACACACTGCCTCATTTATCACCTACTCATTATCTGAACTCGTTGAAACTGACCCAGGGGCTACCGTTTTCATAAAACTTACCAGAAACAATACAACGAGAAATGCAACTCCTAATATAGATTTGCTGATAGCATTCTACCTTACAACTTTTTTTATCACAAACACAAATAGAATTTTTCTATAAAATCATTTTCAGGATGCAAGGTTTTTTAAAGTTAAAAATTTCACTTACATTAAATTCAAAATGCTTAAAACTGTGACCAATAATTTTTTCAAAAATAATTCAATTGAAAAACATGACAAATGTAAAGATGTTTGTGAGTCTTATAAAAAAATTACAGACACGAACAACCTCTCCCTATTGTGTCTCGTACATGGGATAATGATCATCCAGGTTATGCTGTGTGGGCATGTAAGGGGACTTGGGAGCTGAGATGCCCACTTTCACAGGGAACCGTCTGCCGGCTATATCAATCTCATACTTTGCATTAGGGTCCATCACCCAGTTCTCATTGATAATATTCCTGTTCCCTGTGTTGTCTGTGAAATCCTGGACATAGCCCAGGCAGATGTGGGATTCAAGGGAGAACCCATAGGCAGCCGAGGTGGTCATGCCGGCAAATTTCCCATTTCTATATATGGGTTCTCCACCCCAGGGCCAGGGGTCACTATGGTTGTCATGGTCTTCAACGAGGAGTTGGACAAATCTCTTCTTGATCCCCTCTTCCTTCTGCTTCAGCAGGGCTTCTTGCCCTATAAATGGCTTCTAAAATGGGTAACAAAGAAGGTATTTTTTGGACTTAACAATGCCATGTACTGTGAAATGATAAAATAATAAACAGTCCATCTAAGACAATGAAGTGACTGAATAAATTCCAAAGAAATAGGAAAAGTCATTACAAAACTGCAATGCTTTGAAAAAAAAATCTGAAATTTCTTTCAACTGTAAGAAAACAATAAGTAGATTATTTATCTATAGTTAATGCAATATGATCAACAGTGCATGTGTGTGTGTGTGTGAGAGAGAGAGAGAGAGAGAGAGGCAGCATCTTCATCTTACATTCTTTTTCACTCTGAAATCTCTCCCACATTCTAATGGTGTAGAGTTGGAGTCCAGGTCAATGCCCCAGTAGGCCAGGTACTTCTCTATCCTCAGACTCCTGTGTGCCATCAGGCCCACATTCTTCAGGCCGTAGTCATGTCCCGAGCTGATCAGGGTGTCATACACATGGAGGGCATACTGTGGCGAGAAAATCAAATATCACAGTCTTCCAAAGTGATATCAGACTACCGTAAGGGCTCATTCCCATTGAAAGTATTGTTCTGCATACAACTTTTAGGGCAGCAATCAGAATTTTGAACAGGAAAAGAAAACAAAACAAAACTTATTAAAATCAACCTCTTTTCATATGTATCTATTTTAAACACCAGTTCCTGTGCCAGTTATTTCATAAAATTGAAGGCATTACCTCTGAAGGTATATACAACATCCAGCCGTCGTCTCCAGTGTGGGTAAGACGCATGGCTTTTATACCACTGGCATGGCCCAGGTACATCGTCTGCAGGAAAAATAGAAAAAGAGCACTGAACTGGGCAAAATATTTAGTAATTGGTAGACCAGAATAGAATAACAGACACTTTTACTGATCACAGTAACCAGCAGAACTAACTGGCCTGACATGGCAGTAGAGAAATCCAAAACTGGCAAACCTCAAAGGAAAGATATTTTAAACTAAATCTTGAAAATAATATTTTCAAATGCATTTTTTTTACACTTTTTCCATGACATCAATTATCTCATGCTTCACTCGTTGTTTTTCAAATTTCTTCTTTAATTTGCTTAAAAACCACAGCTCTTCAATCATAACTCTTCAATGATCTCTCTGTTATTCACGTGATAAAACCAGTTTTAACAACCAACCACAAACCTTGACAGTCATGGAGGGGAATTTTGTTATGTGGAGAGGTATTTCTGCCAACTCATGCAGGAAGTCTTTGGCTTTTGGACCAATCACATTGAGTGTTGTATACATGGATGAGACATCACTGAGGATAACTGAGCCATTAGCAGGCAAATGCTGTGACAACCAATTGTAGGCACGTGTCTGAGTGGTTGATAGAGATATCATCATATAGCTGAAAAAGAGAAAAAACATGAAATAAAATGGCCATATTACCTCAGGCTAAACACAGGAACTTAGCGGAAGGCCAACCCCAGTTAGCAGGCTAAACATGAGCGCTGAGCTGAAAACCAGACCCCAATTAGCAGGCTAAATATGGGCACTGAGCTGAATACCAGATCCCTGTTAGCAGGCTAAACATAGGCACTGAACTGAAGGCCAGACCCCAGTTAGCAAGCTAAACATGGGCACAAATGGAAATTAAAATGTTAAGAAACTGACATTGGGTCTGAAACTCAGGATATGGACGTTTAGTTTACAGATAGGAAAGCTTAAGTTTCTATCATTGAAAAAATTGTGTTAATTTAATACAAGCTTTTAATTTAGATGCCAAGGAAAACTGTCTGACTTAGTAAATTCGCCATTATACATAGAACCACTATCAGCACCCCTCCCCTTTCCATACACTGTTCCTCACCAATTTTCTGCTACCCTGGCTAGACTACAGTCATTTTCATAGCCCCCCTTGTGGTTGTGTACCCCTGTATGGATGACCGTACCCACTGGCTTGTCTATGTCATTGGAACACATCTTCTGGAGAAAGTCCACAACTTCCGTACCCGCAGACTGAAAAATAAATAAACAAATAAAATTTGTTGATTGCACCTTTAAACTTTAACACCAGGCAATATAAATCAGCTATGCAATATTGGAATTAAAAACATTTTACAACAGACTGGCCTATAATAACAGCGGTTGTATATCTAAATATAAAGGCTGAGCTAAGGTTGTTTGAGATTCTTCGCCAGACCAGGCCCTGGCAACATATTGGCCTATATTAATAATACAATACTTACATGTAATAACTACAAAACAACCTGACCACCCTATTGCTTGGCAGCTAGTTGCAGTCTACACTTACCTTTAGTTCTATCTTGGTAACATAAGACATGTCAAACAGGCCAACCCCTTCTTTGCATGCCCAGTACTCAGACGCCACTGCATCAAACCAAGATGGCCGATAGAAGGTAAGGCGGGGGATGGTGTTGTCAGTGTACTCTTCTGAAATGTCATATCAGGTTACTTTAAATAGTTGTTCTTGGAAATATTCAAAAGTTGATTGGAATGTGTTAAAGAAACGATATCTGTATAAAATGGTTAATTTACTAATAAATACATCTTGTAGAAAGCAGTGCACTAGTGATGCGTACACAATTTTCAATATATATCTCTAGTAGAAATTAAAAAAAAAAATTATAATAATTATCTAATGATGAATAAATATATTTTATACATTTGTTTACAATGATTTTTGTGTACTCCAGGATATTCTTTGGATGCTATTTTTTTTTTTTTTTAGCTAAATGAGAGTACAAGTAAGCTAAAGCCATATCCCAATGTATCTTCACCCAAAGACAGGTCACATGCAAGAGGTCTTTTACAACAGCATTCCAGAACTTGAAACCTTTGACTTTGTATACAAATGCTGATGTTATACACTAAGTTAGTAAAGCCACACTCTCTACATACGTCATACATATAGTAAAGGCACATTAAGACAATCTCAACAATGTAACAGTTGTATATTTAAAGCCCCAAACCTTTTTAATTGAAAGACATAATATTATGTTAACTCACTACAACATTCAAATTCAAATGGATTTGCACACTTTGGATTTTATAATGTACCTTTACAGTTGAACCCTGGTTAAAAAAGCTATCAGACTATGACACAAAAGTTAACGTATATATGGAATTTTTAACTCATAGCCCAGTTATTTTTCAAATACCTTGTAAGTATTTCAGGTGAGATCATATCTCTGTATGTGCAACATATCATGTGCTTCAGCTTATAAGTTAAAAAAAGCTTATATTAGTAAGAGTATTCCTTCCTTCTCTCTTTCTCAACTTCCATAATCTCCCTTCTTCCCATCCCCCAATTCTTGAATCCGCAAACTTTTAACTGATAATTTGAATTATCATAATTAATAAATTATCATAGATACCACTGGTTTTCTTCACCAAGACAGGGATTAGTAGCAAAAAAGAGGGGGCTATTTAAGAAATGGAAAATAAATATATATTTTTTTAAATACTGCTGTGTAGGACAATATATATACTAGTATATGACTGTGCTGCCTCCACCACTGCTCTCACATCACACTATATACAGGCTCTTCCTAGACTGGCGTTTTGTCACTAATGGCTTATTTCCTAAATATTTTTTGTTAAAGAAAAAATTGAATGAGTAAAGAAGCTTACAACTACTGCTTTGCCAAATTTAATTTGACCTAATCAATTTAAGGCATCTGACTCAAAGCATTTTTATTTGTGTATAGGAAAAAACTGTAAACTAAAATAAGATGACAAAATTAAAAATAATATTTTTGATAATAGTCACCCATTTATTTAAGCCAGTAGGATCAAACCAAACCAGTGTCGAAGAGATCCCAGTACACAGATATGATAACAGTACAATATGTACCTGGTTTTAAAAATTTGTAGCCTTTGTAAGCCCCTGAAATGTTTTATTTACACCAATATATTATCTTTTTTATTATAAATGAGTGTAACAAGAGATTGAAAACCTGTACGCATATGGTGGCTAGTATAAAATGGATTTCCGGTAATTTTCATGAGCAGCATTTATGCAATATATTTACAAATACATATTCACTATCAACAGAACTTCAAATTGTTATTCCAAGCTGTTTTGAACTTAAAGAAAAAAAAAACTCTACCATAAGGAGGTTGATGGCAATATTTATTAAACAAGGGTAATAAATATCATTTATTAACATCATTCATTTATTTTACCTTTTTAAACCTTCATATGTTTAATTGCCCTTCTTTCAGATCTTAAGTAATGACAGTTTCTGAGATTGAATTATTCCCCTAATTTGTATTTTGTAGGAATTTTTATCTTGTGAAATCAATCTATAATGTTTGTGATAAATAAGGAATACTCGTTGTTCAGTCTACAGCTCCAAGTAATCTGTAATCATAAGTTCCTGGCTCAGTACAGCTGAATCCTGTCAAAAGAGTATCAACTTAAAATGTTAGATCCCTAGTTCAGAAAAAAATGACTACAATTTAAACAGTTGTAGTTGCTAAAAGCACTGTCTAAGGAATATCTTTGATACACATTATCCCCAGCAGCCATAATGCAGAGTTTTCCAAGCTCGGCCAGGCCTGGTACGACCTCACAAAACATGAGCAGGCTTCCGATTGGTTGCCTATCATCATGTGACACTGCCCCAGCAAAGAATATCCAATTCCCTTATAACAGTCCTTATGATAAATACGTTCACAAAGATCCTCTAGTTTCTGCAAGTATGCTACAACTTCTGCCTCCTTGCCACTTTCGTGGGCGCAGATAACACCAAGGAACAGACCAAAGATGGGAGAGTAAAGTGGCAACAGTGTCAGCCTTCCTGTCAGGCAATCTAGGGCAGGACTTCCCCCAGGATTGCCGGCATAAAGAACATACTGAACTGCCTCTGGGAGACAGGACAAATGTGAAAATTTCACAGGGAAATATAAATCCCAACCAAAGGAATTGGTTTTCATTGCCCAACAGAGTAAATCTGCATGATCTGTTATCCCAGATTCATTTTCTAGAAGATTCGTCAGTTCTTGTGGGTAACTATCAAGTGTAGCTGTTTTGTCACAAATGCAAGCTGTAATGTGAAATTTCATATTTTCATGGTCAAGAGCAAACTGAATGTATTTTTTGGCTTTTTCAAAATACACGGCAGCTTCTTCAAATTTTCCTACAGCTTTGGCTGACTTGCCTCTGGAATAATATAAATTTGCAACTTTCAGTCTGCTACCAACTTTGTCCAAATTGACAGCTGAAAGTAAAAATGTTTCAGCTTGTCTAAAGTAGGAGTCTTTTCCCTGTAGCATTGCCAACTCTTGGTACATACAACCAAGAGACTGAAAACAGAACATTTGAATCAATCTGAACACAAGCCTTCCAACAGTTTTGTTTTTGGTGCTCAAACAAATCTTCTTAATGCGTTTAAAAGACACAGCCATGGTTAAAGGGTCCTCCATCTGAATATCATCTGGTTTTAAGTAAGGTAGGCACTGAATGCCACAGAGGCGAAACTGTAGATTCCCAGTGCCATCTTTTCTTTCCTTCAAGCTGCTTATCATCATTAGAACTAATGAGATATTAACTCTATAACTCTTTATTGCATATGAAAGCAATTTCAGTTGAACATCTGTAGCAGTGTCCAACAAATTGTTCTCAGGCACGAAGTATACAGGTAAATAACCCTCGTCAACAAAGGACTGGAGTCGTGCCAGACATTCTTTGACACATCTGACCAGACTCCCTCTTTGCCAAAGTTCTGGGGGAGTTTCGTGTACCATCCAAAACGTTACAGTTTTCATGTGGTACGAACACAGCACATTTTGATTTTCAAACCTTTCATCTATTTCAGCCGCAATCAATGACTTGATATATTTTAAAATGAAATATGTTCTATGCTGGGTATCATTAAAGGATCGAATTAATGTTCTCTCAGCAACTACAGTGGATATACGCCACTGATATCTTTGACGAGGTACAATACTGTTCTTATGACCAACAGGAACAACATGGCAGCCATCTTTCAAAATGGTGGCAATGTCTGCAGTCTTTGGCCAACCAAATCTTCTTGTACGTCTGAACCATTTTCTTACACAATGGGGCCAGCTGGCAAATGGATAGGCAAGGACGTAATCCATGCTGGTGTCTTTCCTGTTCCCTGATACATTCAAAGAAACAGCTGGGCCTTGTCTTTCAGGACCAAAAAAGGACATGTGCATTTTATATTCTCGGTAAAATGCATCTGCTGCTGCTCCACTAGACGTGTAACCATTTTTGGAATTCAGTTTGCGCAGCATGCCATATCCATCGTGCATACCTTGGCAGTCCCACTCATAAACTTCCAAGGCACGGTTGGCTCGTGGGAGGTCATCCTTTTCACAAATAACCAATTTTTCTAACTCACAAACCATGATATCACTGTCTGAGGGGACAGGAATAGCATCAGCGTTCAAACCATAGGAGGAGGACTCTCCAGAGCTTCCCAGACTGAACACTAGGTATTTATCTGGGTCATTGGTATACGAGTTGTCAAGGATTTCCCGTAAGTCTATGTCCAAGTAGCTCAACTCAAACTGCTTCTTAGACCAACCAAACCTGTCCAAGCCTTGATTCACTTCCTCATTCTCCTTTATGCTTTGGCCAGAGGCTGCCATTTTGTGTTTAAATAAAAAAAGAACTGCTAGGGTAAAAACACAAGACTAATATGTTTGTTCTTCAGCACAGCTTTATGTACTGTTACTTCATGATAAGGTCTGTTCTTCTACATGGTCACATTTACCACTGAGAAGTGATCTGATGTAGTTAATGTTTAACAACATCTTTGTCTTTCAACTCCATACTTATATCAACACTAACTATGACATATCCTTCTATGATGCAATCACTATCTTGGTCCAGAGCCTCTGTTTAGGTCCAACAGTAAGATATAGAAGCATGGGACTGATGGGACACCATATGTTCAATGTTACCAAG